ACACGTCGCCAGCTGCTCCAGACGCTCCACCAACCCCGGGCCCAGCTCGGGCGCATCCATGAGGAGCCGGGGTCTGGGAGCCGCCCTTTCCGCGACCACCGCGACCGTCTTCGAGCGCCCAGATGGCTGGCAGCCCCTGCTACTTGCTGAGTCGATGCCCCTCTCTGCGTCTCCCGCATTAACTTTTGCCCCTTTTCTGCCCCTGTCCTGGGATTGCCTCTCGCCTCAAGCAGAGTCTTAGTCTCGCCGAATCTCCCCAACACATCAGGCTTTATAGTGGGGGAGGAGGCTCCTGCGGGAGGTAAACAGCAGGCCTTGCGTAACACCTCATCTGGTTCTCCCGCTTCCCCAATAAGGTTTGGGGGAGGAAGACACTCCGGGAGAATAGGACACTCCGGTCCCCGAGTCTACGAGGTGGTCACTAGGGGGCGCTCTGGGGGCAAGGTAGCAATGGGTGGGGAGGGTAGCCCCCTGTCACCCCCTGAAGAGCCCGAATTTCACCTTCCCCTAGGCCTGTGGTGTGCGAGTGGGCAGGGTGCCCAGGCCCGCTCTTGGCATAGGTGCCTACATCGCCAGGGTATGAGTCACACCAGGTGGCTGGCACACCTACATCTGGGGGCTGGGGCCGGAAGCACGGATCATGGTTTGTGTGGCTTTGGCAAGCCTCTGAGGGTTGGTGTGTGGCTGTCATTCCCGGCGCCTCTCCATTCCATCTCGCTGCTTTACCTATTAAGGGCTTAAGGACACTCTAAAGCTTTGGAGAAATGGGGAGTTGGAGGGAATAGGCGCCAACGCTCCTGCCTCGAGAAGCCAGGGTAGGGCTCTCTCAGCTCTACCTCCGGCTGGCTCCCAGGACCTCTCATTACTTCCTAAGTCTTTCTGGTTCCTTCTCTGTGTTTTTCTCTCTGTGTGTTCCTATTTCCATTTTTCTTTTTCCTATCTTCTTTGGAATGTACCCAAAGATTATCTGTTTCGATTCTCTTAGTTCGCTGAAGCCCAGAGAGCTGGAATGGCCAAGGTCACACAGCAAGGGAATGACCAAAAGTGGATCCATGCCCAGATCTTCTTCTGACTTGTGCCCTTGTTGTGACCCAATCCTGCGTCTTTTTTTTAATTGTAGATCGCTGGATCTCACTCCTGCTTTCTAATTTTTTTCTGATTTTTCCTGTTGCCTTCTTCCCTCTATCTCTTTCTCTTTTCCTCCTCTCCTCTCTTCCTACCTGCTCCCTCCTCTTCCCAGCTTCTTAGCTTCTCTCATGCCAGGCCTATTAGTCTGGCTACCCTTGGGGATTTGTGAATAAGTAAATGTCCAGATGCTACAACTGTGATCATGCACACTGCTGTACAACATGTGTGTGCATCCATTGATGTCCAAATGCCCAAAGTATGCAAACTTACAAACAGATATACTCATATAATGCGAACATCACAGATTCATCTGAATAGTCTCATACACATTGAATACCACTGGAATAGCCACCCAGTATTATTTACGGACAGATGGATATGCTAAAAAAAATGCAAAGAGGCAGTCTGTCATTAGTTTTATCGTCAATAAGAACAGCAATACAATAGCAGTAAGTCTTTATGGAGCAGCAGCACTTTATTAGGCACCCCTTCCAGGCACCCTTTTCACCTCCCCCATACTTATCAGGAAGACACTCAAATAGAATATGCTGATAAACAAACCTACACAAACACATGCGTGCTCATCTTGGAACAACACTTCCAGCTAATAAAATGTACAAATACCCAAACAAAAGAATACAGATATAACTAAAATCTATTTTGTACAAGATGCTATAGAGCTAGGGCTAGGGTCTGGAACTCACGGATCCCTTGAATCCGTTCACAAACCCTTCACACGCAGGTCTGTAAGCTAGTAACCGGCAAAAAGGTCCTTGGAGCCTTGGCTGAAGTAGGAATAGTCTTTATTCAGCACACACAACACTACCAGCAAGGCAGTACAAAGAGAAACTCAGAAACTCAACCGCTACAGTCAAAGTCCAAAGAAAAACTGAACAGCTGCCCACAGAGTAAACATGCTCTATTTTCAGACTGGAGCTCTCTGTTTGCCAGCCTACTTCACAAACTGAAGAATACACAATAGCAGCAAACTAAAAAGATACATGGATACACATGCGCACCAACTCCACCCACACACAGCTTGTTTACAAAAAATGTGCTGCTCAATCCCCAACTAGACCTGAGCCAAGGGAGCCTGACTAAATTATCCTATTTTCCCCACAGATGCACTACTTTGCTATGGCATGTCCCAGTTCCTGGAACCTGTGAGTATGTTACCTTACTTGGTAAAGGGGAATTAAGTTTGCCAGAGGGAATTAAGGTTGCTATCAGTTTAGAGAGATTATTCCAGATTATACACGTAGGTTCAATGTAATCACAAGAGTTCTTAAAAGTAGAGAACCAAAGCAGAGGAGAACCAGAGAGATGGCAGCACGATAAGTGTTTGGCCTGATATTGCTGGCTTTGAAGACTCAGGAAGGGAGCCACGAACTAGGGAAGTGGGTGGCCTCTAGAAGCTGCACAAGGCAAAGGAATGGATTCTCCACCAGAGCATCCAGAAGGAACCAAGCCCCGCTGACACCTTGATGTTAGCCCAGTAAAACCCATTTCGGACTTCTGAACTACAGAATTATAAGATAATAAATTTGTATTTCAAGCCACTAAGTCTGTGGTAATTCGTTACAACACCAATAGGAAACTAACACATACACATGCCTGCCCTTTCTCCCTCAGGCTCTGGCTTTCTGAGTCTGTCTACACTTGTCTGTTTTGTGCCTTCAATTTGTCATGTTTTTCTGAATTTCTCTGCCTCTCTTGGCCTTCCTGCCAGTCCCTTTTTATCTCTTTTCCTTCGACTTGCTTTATTTTCCTGCTTCCATCTCCACTTCCAAGGCCTCTTAAACTGTGAGTTCTTTCTGGATCTGGGCCTGAAGTACTGGAGAAGTTCCTTTGAGTCTCTTTAGGAACCTTGTATTGTCACCAACCCAAGTGCCTTGCCTCAAATTGCCAGTGGTTCACAGCCTTGATTGCACATTAGAATCTGGGAAACTTTAAACTCCCGATGCCCAGGAGACACCTCAGACCAATTAAACAACTTCTGGGGATGGGTCCCAGGCATCAGTAGTTTTAAAAGCTTTCCAGAGGGTTTCAATATTAGCTGGGGGGGGGGGGGGGGAACAATTTTCACGGAGGGGGGGGGGGGGGGAAC